CTGTAACATGAAACAATGCTCACGACGATGGGTAGAACTCATGTGTGCTTTCAGTGTATCCCATGTCAGATAGTCCGCATAGCATTCCGTACAGTAAAAGCGCAGTCCTGAACGCGCTGTATTCTGAGCTGCAATACATTACAATGTAGTATGAATAAGGGAGGTGTTTATACGGCGAACCATGACTGTTTTGGATTAAAGGGCACTTCTAATGTAATCAGATAAGGCATTTAAAACTCACAAATGTGGTCTGAAACAAAGTGATTGAGAAGTGCCTCAAAACAATTATATCGCACGAGACATTGACAGCAAACATTATGGTTTGTGTCTATAATCAGGAATCAAAGTAAGATTTGCATGTTTATGTCGATAAATATTTAGACATTAAGACATTTCTTGACTAACTCACATTTTTGATGCAGTAAAGCTGCGCCAGTGGTTCTGAATGTTCTCGAACAAACCGGACAAGCTTCAAGCTGCTTTGCTAAAGCAATTAAATCAACCCTTATGTGAGCTGTTAAAACTGGCAATTGGATTGAAAGAAGGGGAAATAACACTAGCAAGGAAATTGCTAATTTGAATAACCTTGCTAATTTCTGCATAGTATGCACTTAATAAGATCAAAGCAGGAATTCGCTTGCACACTTCGCCCAGCGTTCTAATAAATTCATGTGAAACCCACGCATCTGTGTATATCTTGTATAAGCTTGGGAAACCCACCTTTATGTATACGCTTCATATGTGCTCGGACTATGGTGCTGCTACTGAATGACATGGAGCAAAACCAGCAGGCATATGTGTCCATTCCAGCGAGGAGGTAGGCGACGAATGTGCATCCTGAGACAGTGTTTACACTGCCAACAGCCGCGTTATCAAATCCAAAGCAGATCAAAACTCCAGTGATCTTAAATCTTGCATTTACTTCATAGTTTTAAGTGAACATACTTTAACTAGATTTATATCCGCTCAATTTGCTATTTTGTAATGTTTTCTTCCACTAAACATTTAAAACTTCTCTTAGCCGTAAATCAATCCAGTAGACAGTTTTGTCTAATACTATGCCGATCAATCGGTTTACTAACAAAGGATTTAACTTAATTTACCCGATAACGCAAATAACAATTTGAAATTAAATAGAAAAACTATCATGAAACTTAGGCATGACCTTGCTAAATGCTTTGTGCAGACAACTTCCACTGACAATTTCTCATGATTATCGTAGCAAGCAAACCAATTACTTAGACTGTGGTCTTTCGCAATGGTGCAGAATCAAAGTTATTACGGTGGCTACCCTTCCGGCAGCACTTCAGTTGGGCAACCCGAGAATACGATCGGTGTGTCATCAGTCATGTCGAATCAGCACATCTGCTACAAGTGCCTGTCCAATTAGTACAACAGGTCACGGAGCACTTAATGGCCTGCATTAGGGCAGGTTTAGCGCAATTTACAAGGCAAATGATAGCCTCCATTACATTTGGCAGATCCCTAATATTTATATTGAAGCAGTATCTCACACGGCACTGCACTCAGACCTGAAGATGACAACGGGGCCAAAGGACTAGCAGTTTGGGCTGGATTTTGCCTCCGACCGGTGGTCAGCATATAAAAGACTGCAGAAATTTGCCGGTTTCCTCATTATCAATCACCATCACCGACTTGACAGCTCTCCAATTCTCTACTTTTTGCTTTTGCAGCCGCTACTGTCCTTGTTGCATGTAGAATGGACAGATTTGTGTCTCAATACTGTGGTTAGTATTTT